ACCATTCTTAAAAATTGTATCTACACTGATGTTTATTGTTTTCACTTCTTTGCTGAGCTTTAGGATATATTCCAATTAAGAGACATAATTTAACACAGCCGGTGTGGCTCAGCGGATTGAGCATCAGTCTCATGGACTGCTGGGTCCCCGGTTCGATTCCTAGTCAGGGGACATGCCCAGGTCGTGGACTTGATCCCCAGTAGGGGGCATGCAGGGTATTTCTTTCTCACATAGGTGTTTCTTTCTCTAAAAAAAAAAATCAATGAAAATCTTTTTTTTCCCAAAAAGAGACATAACAAAATATAGAACAATAAATATTTTAAGTAGCAAACAAAGGCTATATGGTAGAAAAGCATATGGACCAGGCTAATTGGAAAGTGGAGGGTGGAGGAGGGTGTGAGAAAAACTCTGAGGAAGAGGAAATAAATTTCAGCTCAACCCAAATATTAGTTTCAAGCCAAATAAGTTGGCTTACCCTCAGTTCTGTCCTTGGTTGGATACAATATATGTCGGTGTGTTTTCAGGGGAAAAAAAAAAAAATCCACCCATAGGGTAAGAATCTAAACATCTATTTTCCATCCCAGTGACAATCAGACGTCATTCTTTGCATTCAACTCTGTATCCGCCTGTGAACAGAACTGAAGCTGGCAAAAAGATGGTTCGTGTGAATTACTCGAACAACAGTTTCTCATTGTGTCGAATTACCCTGAGGTTGCTTGCTGCGAAATTTCGCCTCAGCCCGGGAACAGTGGATGATATTGTCATCTTTTCCCCATGCCCACGAAGTTTAACCCACTTGTCTCTCACAGAAATGAATTGCCGGTCCTTTCCAAAGACAGGGAGAAAAGCTCTCCAAACCCTAATCACAGCTTATTCCTATTTTAGGAATCAAACGCGTTTATGTTCCCATGTCACCCGATCTTCATGCTTCCCTAGATCAGATTTGCAGATGACATGGCTTCTCCGTGTTTGGAGTACCTCTAGTAGCCAACATGGGAAGGGATCATGGAATCACAGCCTTTGCTAGCAATATTAATATCTAACTTAGAAACGTCACCTGGACCGGAAAAGGAGGCCAGAGGCCAAAATAATCACAAGGACCCTGTAGTCATCCATACCACTTGTTCTTAAATTCACCATCTACCACCAGGGGGTTAGATGGATGAAGAAGACTCCAGCCTAGAAGGGGTGGCTGTGGTGTTTCTCCAAGGCAACATCTAAGGTGGCCCAGTTGAGGTGTTGGGTGGAGTTTAAGCTTGTTTGACGTGACAATCAACTGTCCATCTGTCCATTTCAGAGGCTGGTTAGAGGAGGCACCACAGATCATGAGAGCTCTAATCTTCTTTTTTTAAAAAAAAACTTTTTTTTTTCTTTATTGATTTCAGAGAGAGAGAAAGGGAGAAGAGGAGAAAGATAGAAACATGGATGAGAGAGAACATCGATCGGCCGCCTCCTGCACGCCCCCCACTGGGGATCGGGCCCACAACCTGGGCATGTGCCCTGACCGGGAATCGAACCGGCGACCTCTTGGTGCATGGGTCGATGCTCAACCACTGAGCCACACCAGCTGGGCCTAAACTCCTTAATCCCCCTCCTCCTTGGTGATCTCACCAATTTGGGGTAGAAAAAGCAGGTTTCAATTCCTGCTACTCGGGAGCTGTGAGCTCCAAAAAGCCGCCGTTGTCCTTCCTTATGAGTACAATGGAGCTAATAAGATCAGCTCTGGCCCTGGCGGGTTTGGCTCAGCGGTTAGAGCGTTGGCCTGTGGACCGGAGAGTCCTGGGTTCGGGTCCCGCTAAGGGCACGTACCTCGGTTGCAGTTTGTCCTCGGTCCCGGTTGGGGTAATGGGGGTGGCAACCACTTGATGTGTCTCTCTCATGTCAATGTTTCTCTCTTTCTCTTCCCCCCCTCCCTCCTGCTCTATGCAAAAAAAAAAAAAAAAAAAAAAAAAAAAAGTTCTAGGGTGAGGATAAAAAAAAAAAAAGCTCAGCTCTGCCCATTAGGAGCTTCAAATGAGATCCGGGACCTCAAGGTACTCTGAACAACCACGTGCTGTACAGATAAGACAGTCTGCACAGGAGAGAAGCCAGCAGAAGCACCTGCTGGTCCTAACCCACCTCCCATCCCTGGAACCCTAATCTAGATAAAGGAGGAGCAAGAGGGAAGGAAATGGAATATGTTAAAATCTTCTTTCTGACTGTCATGAGGCTGACAGCTCATTTCCTTTGGGCCAACTTTGATTATTCTTGCGGCTTCAGGCACAGGGTTGTTTTCATGGCTGCTTACTGTTCATTACGGGAGGAATCCACAGCTCTAATAGAGGACCCTCTCCCTGGCAGCAAAAGTGTTTGATTTCTCTAAAGAAAGTTAAGTTTTTATCCAAAATAAATGGTCAAAACTGAAAAAAGCCTCTTCTCCTTTTAACCTGATTAAGAGGCAACAAGAGCCCTGGCCGGTTTGCTCAGTGGTTAGAACGCTGGCTCGCGGACCAGAGTCACGGGTTCGATTCCGGTCAAGGACACGTACCTTGGTTGCGGTTTGTCCCCGGCCCTGGTCGGGGTTGTACAGGAGGCAGCCAATCGATGTCTCTCTCTCTCTCTCTCTCTCTATTTCCAATCTATCTAAAGATAAATGGAAAAAATATCCTCGGGTGAGGATTTAAAAAGAATAAAATAAAAAAGAGGCAACGATGAGGTATAGAAAGAGCTGGACTGAGATTCAAGTCCTGTCCCTTTTGAGCGTTGTGACACTGGGCTCGCCACTTCACATCTCTTGAGTCTCTGTTTATAATACGGGAACAGTATGAGCCCCGCCCTCCCCCAGAGAGGGCCCCTGGGTGATAAATGAGGTAACACGTAGGGAGTCAGTGGGAACCACGGCTGTGATATCATACACCTTGGTTTCAAACGCTGGTTCTGCCCTTTACTGGGCATATGACATTGGCAAGGTAGTTGACCTTTTGGAACCTCTGTTTTCTTATCTGTAAAACAGGACTAATAATAGCAACTCGTTTAGAGGATGACCGTGAGGATTAAACTCTAAGTGCGTGTGAAGGAACAATTGGTGCCTGGCCAGAGTAAGCAGACGATAAACATTAGCTCTTGTTATTACAGAGTAAGAATGTAAATAAGACTGGAGACTATAATGCGGTCTGAGTGCCGGTTCAATAGCAGCAGGATCGCTGTTCAGAGACGAGTAAACCGGCTCAGCTCAGCTTTGCAGCGCAGTGTGGAGGCAAGGAAGGGGGCTAGCTCATCAAGGGTCTTCTCAGGACACAGAGGGAACACTCCCAAGATGCCAGAGTGATGGAGAAGGCCAACGGTGAAGGAAAGGATTCTGCAGAAAACTTGGCCATGACTGAGGGACCAGTAGGGGAAGCAAGGAGGGGACCCAGTGACGGGACAGACTTCTGGGGGATAGTGTAGCCATGGTGGCGGGAATTGGGGAAAAGGGTAAAAGATGGCCATGGTGGGGACCTGTGCAGACAGGAGCCAGCCCAGACACGTGGAGGGGAGCATCCGATAGGGCCTACGTGACATCATGTCTAGAACCACAGAAGGATGAAGCAGTTTATATGTAAATAACCCCGAAAGACAACACCCCCATCATGACTCCACCCATTCTCCTTCAAGTTCTTTGGGAGGAAGTGAAAATTATGGGAGTGTTAATTGCTACTCAGTTTCAAATTTAAGCCTGCGCTGGTACACAGGAGCCTAGGAGAGAGGATCATTTTCCTTGCCAGCATTATTAAAGAAAGGCTTTTCAAATGACTGGTTACAGCCCGCCCCCGCCCATGGCCCAGATGGACGTTGCCCAGTGCTTACTGGTCCTTGTCCAGTCTTTTCCAGTTTCCTCTGAGCTTCCAAAAGCTGTGTGAGGACCAGCAGGTTCTAATGGTAGTGCCCTGTGGCCCAAACTCCCGGGAATGATTTATAAAGAGCAGCTGCCACAGGCCGGGATGCTGAGGCCCAGGAACGTGGCCCCAGCCACAAAGCGACAGGAGTGGCGGGGACCAAGGCAGGCCTGTGTCTAATCGCTTCCTGATAGTTGCGGCCAAGGCTGCATCATCCTCAGGAAGGGCTCCAAGCAGATGGAGGGCTGGGCAAGGCCCTCTGCTGGGGTCGCGGAGACCTTGCAGCAGGCTAGACTCTGGCTGGGGGGCGTCTGATGGCCGGTGCAGCTCGCGATGGGTTAATGCAACTTCCCTCTTGCAGGGCGTCTGTTCCTTTCGGTCAGGGATCCTCTAGGCACACTCAGTGGCCAGGAGGAGCCCAGGCCCGAAGGCCGCCGAAGCCTCAGGCAGCTCCGACCTTTGCTACCTCCCCAAACCCCAGAGCTCAACATCCGTGCCCAGAAATACCCGGGCGGGGGTGAAGTGAGACCGCAACTCCTTTTCTGGGTACTCGGTCTATCCTCTCTTCCTAGAAACAGCCCCTCCCGTCCTGTCTCGCGCCCCGCAGCCGGATATCTAGGTCCCCGCCCCGCGGGGGCGCCTCCGCACCCCATCTCTGCGCCGCCAGTTCCTCCTGCAGTACCACCCAGTGTCCGCGGGGGCGCCCCGTGTCCCGCAGCGCCATCTAGGGACCGGGCACCGCCTCCCTGCCTCCCTCCCTCCCTCCCTCCCTCCGGGGCACCCCCGCCCCCCCCCTGCGCCCCGCTTACTCCGCCAGGACTCCCCCTCTCCCGGGTCCTTCGGGCAGCAGGACCCTCCCAGCCTCGGCCAGGGGGCCCCCCTAGCCGGTTCCCCTCGCGCCTCCGCCGGGCGCGTGGGCAGCGAGGAGAGGCGCGCAGGGCGGCCCGGCCCGCCGGCTCGGCCCGGTGGAGGCGGGCAGGCGAGGGCGGCGGGCCACGGGAGGCCAGCGATGGCAGCGGCCGGTGTCCGCGGGCGGAGAGGCGGCGGCGGCGGCGGGCGGCGCGAGGAGCCCCTGTGATTGGCACAGCCGAGCCGGAGGAGGAGGCGAGGGGAGGGCGGAGGAGGAGGAGGAGGAGGAGGAAGGGGGCGAGCGCAGCGGAGGCGGCCGTGAGGAGCTGTGTTTCCACCTCTCCAGCCCCGGCAGGACGGGGGCGGCCGCGGCGGGCCCGGGGTGGGGACAGCGCGCAGCCTCGCGACGCGCACCCCGCCGGCAGCGCCCGGCACTCGGGGCGAGCGGGAACGCGGCGGCGGGAGGAGGATGCAGGGGAAGAAGCCGGGCGGCTCGTCGGGCGGCGGCCGGAGCGGCGAGCTGCAGGGGGACGAGGCTCAGAGGAACAAGAAGAAGAAAAAGAAGGTGTCCTGCTTCTCCAACATCAAAATCTTCCTGGTGTCCGAGTGCGCCCTGATGCTGGCGCAGGGCACGGTGGGCGCCTACCTGGTGAGTCCCCGTGTCCCCGTGCCAACTCCGCCGCGGGGCCCCTTCCCCAGCCCGGAGCCCGGGCGGCCGACGGGCACGAGGAGGGACGGGCGGGCGTGACCTCCGCCCGGCGTGGAGGTTGGCGAGTGGTGCAGAGGCGGCTGCCGAGCGAGCCGGAGCGGCGGACCGCGGATGCCCGCAGCTCCTCCTGCTGCCGGCGGGGGCTGGGGGGGGGGGGACCGGAGGAAGAGAGGCTGCGGGCAGGTGGGCGTGAAACCATCCCTCCCACTGGAAAGTGCAGCCAGAGGGCGAGTTCCGGAGCCCCCTGGGAGAGGAAGGCATCCCGGATTTCAGGTGCCCTGCACATGGGAAGAAAAGCCAGTGAGCATCATCCCGCATCTTCTACTCCATTCCAGCCGCCCAGAGAACAAATCCATTATGCATCATTTTCTCCGGGTGCTTCTTCCATGGGGTGGGGGGGTGGGGGTGGGATTTAACAGCTTAGAGTAAAATGCGCCCGAGTGTGGCCTGATCCGAACCAGGGCTCTGGGGGGACTATTCCCGCTCCGTCTCCGCATAGCCATCTCTCAGCGCCTGGAATAAAGTTCCCATACCTGGAGAGCAGCTGCGAGTTTGTGTAGTTCCTGCCACCCACTCTCAGACCTCAATTCCCCACCGTTGTCCCTCTCCCCCAAGAGGGTTGCATCATTTTTCGCAACATACATCTATTTGATTCGCTTTCTGAAAGGGGAAATTAACGCTCAAACGGCCCAGGGGTGCATAACAGAGCAGAGGAAACAGCTTGTAATGACTCAGCACTGTCAAATCCCCACTTTGCCGGGTTCTCCTGCCCCGGCAGGTGGTCCCAACTTGAGTTCCAGACAATGCACACGTCCAGTCCTAAGTACAGCCCTGCCTAAACATGAGAAGATTTTTCAGAGCGTTGAGTGTTAAATCATCACTTGACTATTGACCCGAGACTGGAATCAGATGTCACAGACTTTGAGTGTTAGTGAGCAAGTTTGATCGAGAGAGAATTGGGCAAGATGTTGGCTGTTGGATAAGCACATCCAGAGAGGAAACCGCGTTTTTCCTTATTCCTCATTCCTGGCCACGGGTGACAGTTAATGAGGGCCAGACGCTAAGTGCCCTGTGCCGTTCATAAGCCATTCCTAGGACTCCGGGCTTGCGGTCAGAGGGAAGTACCAACAGGCTTGGTCTGTGTTGTGGGGTAAAGTAAGTTACGTGGTTCTGATACAAGATTGTTCCAAGTCGGCCCTGTCCCTGGGGTTCTCGCCCCAGGGATTCAGTCAAATGCATTTCCTTTGCTTCTTGCGAGATGAAAGGCAGTTTCAATCGCTGCCTCCGTGCATCCGTGACTTGTATGCTGCAGATGAACTCTGTCGCCGAAAGAACATTTTGTTCTCTGTTTAGATTTTAGTTTTAGAAGATGCCTTTTTAAATAGTTACTGGACACCATTTTAGACAGGACCTGCGGCCTTTGGAATTTTGGAGTCAGAGGAAAACCGGGGCTCGGGGGTCCGTTTTATTTGTTCAGATAGTAAAATGGGCACATGTTTTACTACGGTGCAAATGCACGTGAATAAATCTACGTTGGCCTTCCCAGTAGTGTATACAAGGTGTATCATTCCTACTCAGGGGGGCTCTGGGTTTAAAAGGGGGTTTGTGTATCAGCCAACGGCCGCCTCTGGTTTAGCAGTTTGTTTGCCTCATACCAGTTTCGTTCAAGAGGGCGGGCAGCTTCCACGTGTGGGCAGCACCAGTAGAACTTTTCACACCACGAATGATAAAGGCTTAGTTTCAGCTTACAATGACCTAAGAGTTTTAGAAAGAAATGAAGCCGGGCTTCAATCAGATGAGGGCCTAAGCTCCTTTAGCAAGTTAAGAAGCCGCGGGCTGGTAGAGTGGTGGACCTATAGAGGTGGCCCTGCACCCGGAGATAGGAAGTTGACTGCGATCCTGCAAGAGGCAAGTGGCAGCCAGAGGGATTCAGTGCACCTGGTGGGGGCCTCCTGCGGCATGCCAGCCCGGGCTGGTGGAAAGCCTGGTTCAAGGGGTAGGGTAACAGGAATCAACAGGTGACCAGCAGAAAGCAGATGGAGGGCCACGAGGGAACAGGCCTAGGACATTGAATTCATTTTGATTACTGTGTGCAGACGCGTAAGGTGCTCAGGGTTCTGCTTTGCCTGGCTGCCCTCCACTCGCCGCTGCCATCTGAACCTCATGAAAATAAATAGTTTGCTCGCCAGGGTTGACTGAGTCAGCTTGCCATGGGGTTTTGCTCTTCTGGGTCACTTGGGAGTTTTCATCTGTTACTTGGCAGGTGGAATAAAAATTTTGTTATTCCTTCAGCTCGGTGGGGCTTCGTTCCGGATAATTTGAGAATGAAACATTACAGGATGTTTGCGGGAAGGGAAGTTCTCCCTTTTAGTCCATCTCAGGCTTGTTTAGGAAACTCGAGGAGCATGATTGTAGATGATCACACAGGCAGGGGCCATGTGCAAGGTGTGTGTTCTATAGCATTGAGAATTCTATGCCAGTGACATTATTTCCAACTAGGTCCCAGAAGTCCACGCAGCTACCTGTTATTTCATCCTGCAGGGGCAATTTTTCTGATATTTGGAGGCTTCATTTCATTTATCCCTTTCCTCTCTGAAAAGACAGATTGCCCAGTGTCTTGAGTGATACAGGTATAGCCTTCCCAATTGCAGAACTGAAACAGGAAGTTGCCTGCGATTTGAGAAGCAACTTTGAAAACCAGGACTCTGTGTGTGTGTGTGTGTGCCTTTAAATAATCTGCCCAGGGCGGCAACTCCTGTATATGAGAAAGCCACCAATTATTAAGCTAGCCAGGGACCAGCAACTTTTGCCTGGGCGCTGGGGGTAGGCCAGGGGAGTGCAGAACACTGACGTCGACTGTGAAGCCGACTTAGTGATAATGTCGATAAGGTGTTCTGGGTGCAACCTGAACCAGCTGTGGATTCTGAGATCTGTTACTGTTCCAAATATTTTCATTGGAAATCATGCTTCAGATCAGCCAACAGTCCCAGGGATGTTCTCTGTTAGTCACTTAAACTGCCTGACAGTCTACAAAATATTTTCCCAGCCTAAGAAGAGGGACCCGCTCAGTTCTTGTTTTTTTTAAAATCCTCATCGGAGGATATTTTTCTATTTATCCTCAGATAGAGTGGGAGGGTGAGAGAGAGAAACATTGATGTGCGAGAGACACATGGATTGGCTGCCTCCCGCAAGACCCCGACCAGGGCCGGGGACCGAACCACAACTGAGGTACGTGCCCTTGACCAAAATCGAACCCGAAACTCTTTGGTCCACGGGCTGACTCAGCTCTAACTGCTGAGCCACACCGCCCAGGATGAGACCCATTCAGTTTGATCGTCACTCTGTGCCCAGTAGAAGAGTGGAGAATACAACTTAATTGTCCTCTGCTTGGGTCTTTGCTTCGGGTAGCTCCAGTCTGTAACATTGCAGGATTGTAACATCCGCCTAAATCTTGGGCTGTTTGGAGAAAGCGCAGGCCTACAGGAATGGGGCATGGAGAGACCGTCATTTCACGTGCACTTCATAATGTTTAGTGGAGACCCAGTGAGATGTTTCAAGCCATTTGCTGAGGGTAGCGCTGCATATAGAGGTGCATGTGTGTTACCAAGTTACGGAGGCCCGGAGGAGATGGGATGTGTCTGGGAAAGTAAAACCTCTGACCTCTGGGTGGTCATGATCGGCGCTCACATACAGATGCATTTGAATTTCCTCAGGATAAAAACTTCACAGTGCCACTTTGGTCTCTGCTCGGGGCACTGTGAAACGGGGGTGGGCATTTCCCTATGGAGAGTTATGCAAAAACGAAGTCTGGGTTTGCGGTGACCAAGGAGAGAGATGAATGTCTGAGTTTACCAGGGTTTCAGCTCACTGCTCTATAGTCACTTGTTTTTTTTGTTTTTTTTTTTAATGCCTGAGAGCATTTAGTGAGCTGGCAATGAACGGATGAGGTGGAAATGCTAGAGTTTTTATTATGTTCTTCCTAAAGAAGTATCATTTTGAAGACAGGTTTTTGCGTGTCTAACCCAGAAACAGACAGCTAAGAGACATTTTTTTTAAGTCCTTGTCAAATTAGTATGATGACTAAGGCAACTGTATTTTACTTAATCAAATTATTTTACACGCTTATGGTTTACTCAAAGTGACAAATTCCCTGCCATTTGCATAATTATTCTATACCCCCAGGTTGTAAGAAATAAAATAATCCTGTTTTTTTTGTTTGTTTTTTTTTCTTACAGCTTGGTTGAAAATGTTTAGCTACTAATTATTTAGGGGAAAATATTATTTCTGAAAATGCTTTTCAACCAGCTTTATGTCCACACCTTAGTTACTGTGGAGGGGTTTTCTCCTGTGTGTTGAACAGTTGAAGAAACTGAATTAGTTGTAAAGTGAACAAGATCTCTTTCCTGGCCCGGCTGGTGTGGCTCAGTGGTTGAGCGTCGACCCATGTACCCAGAGGTCGCTGGTTCGATTCCCGGTCAGGGCACATGCCCAGGTTGTGGGCCTGATCCCCAGTGCGAGGCGTGCAGGAGGCAGCCAATCGATGTTCTCTCTCATCGATGTTTCTATCTCTCCCTTCCTCTCTAAAATTCAATAAAGAAAAAGAAAATTGAAATAAAAAAAAAAAAAGATCTCTTTCCTGAATGTTGTAACTCACCCCTTCAGGTTGTAGGTACTCTCGGAGAGGAGGACCCGGAGGCCTCTCGCGGTGGCTCGCTAGTAACTGCCCAGCATCGAAGCTCCCTTTGCCTGCTGCCCGCACAGCGCTGTTCTGTACCAGCCTGGATACCTCTCCTCTTCTGCAAAGGCAGCTTGAGCAAGAGGGTCTCTGTGGATTTCTCGTGCCCATCCTCAAGTGCCGCCTTGTTCAGGGACCGGCTTCACTGAGCAGGCCGGCTCTGGGACAAGGGTAACGTGATGAGCAGTGACGAGGGTGCAGCCGC